TCTCAGCTTTTCCTCTTCCTTCCTCTTCAGTATTCTAGGGTCCCTCTTATGAGCATTATCAACTAGAGCACGAATCCTTGCAGATTCTTCCTTTCTCGCTTTTTCTGACAATTTTGCATTCTGCCTTTCCATCCACCTCCTGTGGTCTCGAGATTCAGCTTGCTCAAGATCAAATTCATCAGCATGAGGAAACTCTCTCCAGCTTTTAAAGGTGTACCAGAAATTATAGAAGTTATCGACATCTTTTAATGGAGTGTTGTTATCACCTAAAGATGGAACAGGCTGATTAACTGACCACCTTCCATTCCTCATAAATGCAGGACCGAACACTTTGAAGAAGTCTTGTGGGGCACAGTCAGTAGGAATCTCATCATCAAATTCATCTGTTGAATCATAGATTCTTCTCTTCACAGGATCAATCAAAACTTCATATGCTTCCTGGATTGCCTTAAAATGACTTTCTATCTCATCCTTCTTCGCCAACTTTGCAGCTTCAGTCTCCTCAGCAAGAAGCAGAGCTGCCTGTTTGTCAGGATGATACCTCAAAGCAGTTTCACGATAGCTTTTGCGTATTTGATCCTCTGTAGCAAGGTATCTCAGATGAGTCAAACCCAACAACGCATAGTGATCTTGTTGCTTGTCTCCAGAACCAGATTTCTTTTTACTCTTGCTGCTGTAAGAATCTGATGATGGAAAATAATTCTGTTCATTATCATCAACCACTTTTTTATCATCAGCATCTGAATTTTCTTCCTCAACACCAAGTAGTTTGAGCGCAGCAGAATGGAAGGCATGACCCGCAGGTTCAAATCTCCAAGCCTTGACAGGAGTACAATTCGAGGAAACAAAAATTGGCTGCCCATCTACAATATCTTGTGAATAACCAATAAGCCTGAGCTTTGAGTGTACAGCCATAATGATGGCCCAAAGAACCAGGAAATATGAACTAGATTACTGTTCAGTATGAAGAAACAGGTCCACTTCGATTCAATATCTCACTTTAAAGATTTACTCCAACAACTGGAACCTGCACTTTAGTGAAATTTTATTTAGAGCATTTAATACCACCCTGAAATTATTAGATCATACAAATGAACAAAAATCATCACATAATAGGAATAGATAATGGATCTACCAGTCAAGCATAAACACATACAAAAGACACTGAACTGAAGCAACAGAGCAGGACAGTTCAACTGGATACTAGAAATGCGAAACTTCCAAGGGATTTTATTATATCTACCAGCATTCAAGCCCAAGAGCTAATTACACTAGAGCTCCACATGGTTTGGACAATCATAGCTCAATCTTTGTAGCATACAAGAAACTCTCGTTTTCTACTTTTCTGGGCAAAAGAACTGAGCCACTGCTTTAAAATATCACATAAAACGCATGGCATGATGGCATTTGGGCATTGCATCTCTTTTGCCAGGAAAAAAGTTCATGCACACAGCGACACATCACAAAAATAAAATACACCAACGCATGCAAACAGAGTGACAAAAGTACTTCTTTACTTCATCGAACAGCAGTTAAAATGAAGCTGTCAATTCACATAAAATCCATGCAGGAGATGTGCATTACACTTGAAGTACCTAGATTCTTTAAAGTCAGTTTCTTGGACATAAGGACCAGTTATGACCAAAATTTGAATAGTGTCAGGACCTTCTCAACAGAGATAATAAATTGACCAACTCATTGAGACAATCGCAAGTCATATGGGCAAAACCCCAAGCATTCATTCCTAACTTTCTTTTCTGTACCAACCTGTAATCAAATCAAGTATACACTCATAACAGATAAAAATTTCAACCTCGGGTATTTGCAGCTCATCCCCAAAACAACATGCCATAACCTAGGAAGCTAGACTCCACTATCGCAAACTAATAATGTTCTTCGAGCGCAATACACAGTGAAAAAGTATAGTAACACCTGGCCCGTGAACCATAAAATCAGAAACAAAAAGGGGAGATAAATCCCACACAGACCATGAGAAAATAAAGGCAGGTCATGAATGAGACGAAAATCAAATCGAACCCATGATCGGATACGATGAAGAAAACAACTACAAAGAAAACTTACAGAAAAAAAATCGAGGAGGCGCAAAGAGAAAAAGAACGAACGAAGCAAGTGACCATGCCAGCAAAGAAGCGAACTTTGAAGGGTCTGTATGGTTACGTTGCGTTCCACAATTTGTGAGAGCAGCCGTAGGTTTTTGGGTTTCGGCTTTCATACATAGGAAGCACAGTGAACTGCCCTATTATATGCCGCCCATCTCAAAGGGTGATTTCTTGGCTGCTCCCTACATTTTTTATTTTCCTTTGTTACCAGGCAACTATAAAAGAAAATATTACAAATATATATTTACTCTTTTAATTTTATATAAAATTTTAATTTAGTTCTTTAATTGTGAAAAATGGAGTATATTTTTAGTTCATTAAATCTAAAATTGTTAGCTCTAAATAGTTTTTTAATAATAATCATGACTATTTTGAAAATTAAATTTAATATGCCCTCCAATTCAAAATATAAGTTAAACTTTACCTATTTATGTTTATCAAGAAATTAGTTAAAATCAGTTTAAAACAATAAATATGCAAGGCATGTACTTTTTTTTTTTTCAAATATGCCCTTATTAATAAAAAAATAAAATATGCAATAAATGAATCAAAAAGGAAAAATAATATATTCGGGATAAAATTGAAAAAAAAAAAAACTTGTTAAATGCTTAGATAAGAGTGAATGTTATCCTATAAAAAAACCAAATCCCTCCAACAAAGTTTAGCTTATATTTTGAGCCGGAAGGAGTATGTTAGTATTTAATATTATTTTATCAAAATTTTATATATTAATATCATCATTTTTTGTTAAATATTTTTAAAGTTAAAAAACTAAAAATATAATTTTTAAATTAAAAAACTAAATTGAAACATTATATAAAATTAAAAGACTAATAATGATGTAAAAGAAAGGAAAGACCTAGAAAATTAATAACTACGCGATTGTTTCAATAAATAATCAATAATCAATACCCTGGCTAAAAAAACTCAATAATCAATACAATTATAAGAGAGTATTTTTCCCACTTATTATTTCCACATTATTTCTAACATTTGATAACATTCAATAGTTGGATTCAGTATTTCAAAAATACTATTATAATATTAAATTATAGAAATATCTAAAAATAAATTTAAATATTTAAAATTTGATATGAACTATTCAAATTCATAGTGAACAAAAAGTTAAAAAAAATACAAAAAAAAATTGTAAACTATTTAGATGAATTTTAATATTTTAAATTTATTCATTTATTTATTGCAATTCTAAACTATTAAGGTTAAGTTTTTAAATGTTTGAATTTATTTATACATACTTTTTATTTAATATCATAATAAATTTTTTTTTGAGTAGAGCTCCTCCGGTATCCTAGGCCAATACCATCTTTTAGGCTTTTCAATAGGTCCAGACTAATACAGAGCGGCACCTGTGAAGGATCCCCTAACGAATGGCTTGCCTACCACTCCACACTGTTGCATTCCTAAGCGGATCGAACCTGCTGATCTTGGTTAAGCTAGAATGACCCCATAACTAGTTGATCTAAGTGTTCGGTGATATTATCATAATAAAATTTTAATAGAATTATGACCATTTAATATTAATCTAATGGCAGAAGTAATAAGTGGAGAGAGTGGATAGTGGAGACAGCTGAGAATTTAATTTAATTAATTTAAGGTTATTATAATTTTCTTGTTTCTAATTTTGATTATTTTTAAAATATTAACTAAAATATGCTTATTGAATATTATGTTCTAAAATAAAGATATATGCGTATAAACAATTTATGTCAAATCTAAATCTAAATATTTAAAAATTAATGTCTTAGAACATCATAAAAATTTACAAGAGAACCAAATCAGGTTTAGGTTGGTGTGGTGGAGCCATATGGATCTATAGATTTTGAGGTTCTAGATGTTGAATTTCAGGGTTCTCTCTAATCTCCGCGGACTTTGTCATTTTCATTTTGGTTCTTTGAAGTTCGAAATTTTAAGTTTTGATTAATGTGATTAAATGTTACAGTATATTTAAAAAAAAATGCTCTTCATTAAATAAAGTTTGAAAGAAAAATCTAATTAAAGGAAAATATAGGAAAAATTTATGTCATGCTACAAATGTAGTTAGCTTAACTATAATTTTTTTAATTCGTGTGACATAGATATTAATTCCTTATGTTTGAAACCGAAAGTCTGATATTCACTGTTAGATTCTCTGCTATGTGCTATTGATTTTCACCGTGATGACAAAAACTTCTTGATTTCCCGTGGCACGTGATCTTACATTTTTTTTCTTTATATATTTGTAAGTATCATACTAATTTTCCAATAATTAATATACACACTCACTCTAATTAGTACCACATCTAATTAGTAATCTGCTTTGATTTTGTAGTTTTTATACTTTTCTTTTTCAACCTTTTTTCTAGGTATAATCTTCCTCCTATTGAAGGTAATCTTGTTTAAAACATTCCTGGATAATAAATAAATCACTTTTTTTAACTTTAAAAATGGGGAGGGAAAAAAAAGAATAGTGGGGAAGGGGATCATTTTTAGAATAAATATATTCCTGTATTAAAAAGTTTTTATACTGATCATGTATAAGTTTTTTTTTAATTTTAAATATTTATTTCAATAGATTATAATGTGAGGTGATATTCAAAAGTCATTGAATAGAAAATTATGTGTAAGGTTGAATGCATGTAAATATTAACGAGCATGAGGAATAAAGAAAACCTGCTTAAAATAAGATTGAGTAGGAGAATTGATAAGGTCCCTTAAACATCTGGCCAGGAATTTGATCTTTGACAGCACATATGGAGAGGGTTTTGCTGTCAACACAAAAGTTCTTTTAGAATTAGTCACTGCTATTAGTTGTGGATACCCTAAGTTCAACAATAGAAAAAATTGAGGAAGAAAAACACTAAATTGTAATCGTAGAGAGGCTGGAACATCATGCTTACTGTTATTATAATTTCATTTATCCTCATGAAGTTTAAGTATCCAACTCGCCTAAATTTTCATTTCATATGTTAGAAAGCACACAAAAAGAAAGAAAAGAACTAAATAGAAGAGCCAAGGCTCTCACAAACACAAAGTACATATCATGTTCAGTTTTAATCAGTTGTGCCATAAGCGAGAGCTTACGCACGGTTGTGGAGAAGTCCTTTTTCTCTACAAGTATCAATGGCTGCGGTGAACATATCCTCTAAACTATATTTAAACTGAAACCCTAAATCTTTTATCTTCTTGGTAGAAAAGTGCTCAATCTCCAAGTCCTCCGGAATATTCCCAAACCTATATAAACAAAAACCATGATCCATGTTTACAATAATTAGTTCAACATAGAATCACTCATGTAAATGAATTACTCTTCTTTTTTTTTTTGGCAAAAGGATAAAATGATATTCTTTCAGTCCTAAATGTAAGATTCATCTGGTAGTATAAATTACACTATAAAATGAGTTTTACATTTAGAAGAAGAGAGAGTATTGAAATTTAAAGAGTTACTCTTAATTGTGAAGTAAAGGAAAAGTGAGTTATACTTGGTGGGGACATTGTACTCTGGGTATTTTTGACTAAGCAACTTGGCAATTCCATGTATTGTGGCCTTATGGGAAGAGCATACGTATCTTCCTTCTGCCTGAGGATGCTCAAATAAGAATATGTGACACATACAGAGATCATCTAAATGAACATAGTGCCCTTTCTTTAGCACTGAATAATGGCCTTCATTTCCTACAAATAGAGTCCAGTAAATTTAAGTTAAAGCACATAAAATATCTCTCCTTTCAATTTTTTTTCCCGTAAGACCCTATTAACTTTGGTTTTCTAGAGCAAAAAAGTTAGTTGAAGTTACGTAAAAATTTTGTTTTCCAAATTTCCAAAACTACCCTTTAATGGATATAGTATTTTATTAGGGAGAAATAAATGATGGATTAGTCATTAGTTAAGCTAAAAGTGACAAGGTCATAAGTGAAATTGAGTCATATAAATATGTTCCATTAAATCTTGCGAAGGTCTTATATAAAGGACTAATGAATAGGATCTTATAAATAAGACAAAAGGGGATATTATAATTTAAGTACCAATAAGGTTGAAATTAGAAGGAATTAATAAAAACGCACCAGTAGTGATGAGAGAAAGAGAGATCATAAAACTGGGAGGCATTGAATTCATGAGAAAAGGGCCAACCACATGAGGAGGAATTACACTGATGAAATCCATGTTATGCTCTTTGGCAAATTTCCATCCCTCTTGCTCTGCCAATGTCTTTGAAACAAAATACCCCTGCAAAATACCCAGCTTGTTATGATCTTTAAGATGATGCATATATGCATATTAAAGGGGAGGAAGCACTAACCCAACCAGCGATCTTTGCTGTGCGACAGAACTCAACGTCAGTCCAGCAAGTCTCATCAATCATAGGTTTGTGGTGCTCTGTGCCAGTGAGAGTTGCAGCAGAAGATGTGAATATCAATCTCCTCACTGTTCTGGCCTTCAGGCATGCTTTCATAATGTTCAATAAACCATTGATTGTTGGCTTTATCATTTCATTCTGCAAATGTCCCCAATCAAATTCATATTGCTCAAGCATGTGACATATACACACACTTACATATAGTATAGAGTTAGTAATGCTGGCTAGCTCGTCACAGGTTGTAACCTATGTGGGTTGGGCTGAAAAGACCCACCTCCTGATGAGCTGCAATTCAGCCAACCCAACTTGTCACAGTTGGATTCACAAGATTATTGAGATGGAACTGGGATGGGATCATCCCATGAATACACCCCTAATATTTAGAAATAGAATGAGAATGGAAATAAGAATGAGAACGAGACTTTAAACCTTTGTTTGGTATGAAGTAATATTTAAAATATTACAAAGACAACTTAGTCCGAAAATCTCGAATCTCAACATTGATTTTCAAATACCAAGAAATGGTAGAATTATGTAATCCCTAGTAGAATGGGATCAATAATGAAAAACTAATAGTATCCAATCTCAATCTTAACCCCTCAGTCTAGGGTATTCATGCATGGGACCCATTTGTTAGAGATAAAGTGAGAGAAGTAAAGAACTAAACCTCAGGGTCCTTGGAGTTTAAATCCAAAGGGGTAGCCACATGGAAAACTCCAATGCAGCCACTGATGGCATCATCGAAGCTTCCCTCATGGGTAAGGTCTGCCTTCCACAGACTCAAGCGTGTGTCGGCATTAGGCAACTCTAGCAAATGCTTCACCTTCCTCATGTTACCTGCGAATTGAACATGAAAATCAAATAATTGAATGAACTAACAAATTAAATGAAAAGAGAAAAAAAACATGCATGAATATTAATTCCTTCATGTAAAATAAGAACCAGGGTCGCGCACGGTGGCTCGAACAGTATAGCCACGTTGGAGGAGTCTCATGACAAGCCAGGAACCGATGAAGCCGGCAGCTCCGGTGACACAAACGGTCTTTGACACTAAATAAGAATCCATAATGTCCAGTTCTTCTAGCTGATCACTGGGATGAAAAATCAAAAGGCTGTCGGTGACAGTGTTATAAGAAGAAGAAGAAAAAGAAGAAGAAAAGATATTAGTTACAGAGGATAATTTATATATAAAAGTAATGTTAGTAATGATTTGGGTTTGAATTTATTGTTAATCATGTGATCAACCCAGCGGTGGTAGTAGGTGGTTTATGACTTTTGAGTGGCAACTCTCTCATGACTTTGTCTTGTTTAGCTGCCTTGCTTGACTCCAGTTTCAGCTTTGTCCCTGAATATAATAGGGTTGAGGTCTAATTTAGTCTCAAAAGTTTTCACGCACGAACTGTGGGGATCCGAAAATTTTTGTTAAATCAATATTGTCTCCAAAAGTATTAAAAAATGAGCAATGTCCCTTCTAGTTGTTAAAAGTTTAATGCTCAATATTAGTTCTTTAATAGGCAATGTTAGTTAATAAACACTTTGGATGATTTTGTCTATTGACACTTTAAGAGCGATATTGATCCAATAAAAAATTTTGAGTACTCACAACTACTCTTCTGTGTAAATTTTCGGAACAAAATTGGATCTTAACCCAAAATAACAAGCATCTCCTCCCATCGACATTTTAAGTAATCTCTAACTACCTCACCAGAACCAAGTAAAGATGATTGACTCATTAGCTTTGTTTAAAAATAAAACTTTTTCCAACTTTGCTTATATCTAAGAGCATAGAAAAACGTTGCATTAGACTTCAAGTCTCATTCTAATAAATTGTAAGAAAAGATAATATTTGGAAGAAAAGTTTATTAATGACCCACCAAAAGACTCATATTATATACCAAAAATTTATTCTAGAAACACTTTAATTTATATTTGAGATTGAGAGATCGTAGTTCAAAAAATTATTAATAATAAATGTAATTACTTCTTCTTAATATAAGATCTAGTTTAATTTGTAATAGGTAGTAATCATAAATTTTTTTTAATTGTTGAAAGAAATTTTTTAAAATCAAATTGTTTGAATACTATTTGAAATCAACTATAATGAAAATAAATTGAATGTATCAGCCTTCTTATTTTTTGAAAATAAAATGCAAGAATTAATTAATCGTATGATTTTGATCACGGGCCGGTCAAGAGTAAGATCCAAGTTGATAAGTTATGCTAGTTCCGGTACTTAATATAGAGCTAAATAATTAATTTAGAAATATTAAAAAAATTAGTTATGTTAATTATTTGTAACAAATGAATATTGTTTTTCCTAAAATAACCTTATTACTCATATCTATTAGAATAGAAATCTGTAACATGTCATCATGGGGGCTACTTTAGGGGGAAAAAAGAATAAATATAGTAGACAAAGTGAATTGAAATCTTATATTTAGAATCAAATTAAATCTCTAATTTTTTTTTATATTTAGGACTTGAGATAGTATTACAATAAGCATTTTTGGCTAAAAAAAAAAAATCACACTGAGCCTTGGATTGATCAGTGTCCCTAGAACTTCTTAGACATAACCACACAGATATGATTCTGATGAATTATTACCGGTTAAGAGACAAAGCTAGTTCATACTCGTTCTGTCTTTAATATAAGATCTAATTAACTAATTTGAATAGATTAAGAATGTTAGGTAAATTAGTTAATATGATATTTTTTTTTCTAAAACATCCTAAATATCTTTCTTGATTCTTTTCCTTCCTTTTTCTTACTGGATTATTGTTGGAAAGATACCAATAAGGTTAATTTGGGAAAAATTGATAAACAAATGAAATAGATCTTATATATAAGATTAACATCAACTCTCTAATTAGATCTTATATTAAGAACCGGAAGAATAATTCATTAGAAGTTGGTTACTAAACTAAAAGGCACAGTGAAGAAGAAAAGGGACTCCCAAAACATGGGCTTTTAAAAATGGTCCAGCGAAATTGTTTAACTTTAATGTTGATTTTAGGGGCTACTCCGGAATCTGGACTGAGTTTTCCTTAAAATGACCTAATTGTTCTTTCATAAAACCAAAAACATCCCTCCGTGGCAAGTCACCAGAGTCCAGACAACTAGAGAATTTTTAGGCAAGAGTTTATCAAAATTGGATTTGATCCACCACTTTTTGGTTCCCAAAATGTTATATGACCATTGGGCATCAATATATCTTAGTGCTTGGTACAAAATATTGTATAAGATAACTATCAAATTAAACTTCAACATAATACTACCTGTGTTTTTTAACATAAGAGCTAGTTGACCAATTGAAGCAGATTACAAAAATTAGTTAAATTAGCTATTTGTAATAAATATATGTTGTCTTTTCTAAAATATTCTTACTAATCAATTGTATTGGTTAGAACTATCATTATTATAAGGACTACTTTGAAAAAAATGAATAAATATAAAAGATAAAGTGAATTAGGGTTTTATATTTAGAATCAAAATAAAAATCAAATGAACTCTTATATTAAGGACCGGAGGTAGTATGAAATAACTTGGTTGACTTTAAGGACTAATAAATTTAGTTATGTGAAATAACAACAAAAACAATGACAATTACTCTCTTGAAATTCAGCTTCTAGGTTCTTAAGTATTGGTGAATCAATAATTACTTTAATAAATAACATGTTTAATTATATAAAACGTTTCCAAGGAAAATCCAAAACTTAAACAACATATCCAGCTAAAACATTACAAATAAGAATTCATTATACATGAATATCCATTAGGTTTTTATCCATGTCAAGCAGTTTTTTCTTAAAAAGAAGGCCACATCACGACATTTTGTCTTGTTTTAACTATTTCATGTTATGTGTACTTAATCCAACTAAAATGAATGTGTTTCCTTCAATCAAACATGACGCTTCGGTGATTTTCAACAGGTAACCCAACACACTTTCAGTATATTAAAATAAAACAGTCCCAAAATGGGGAAAAATAATCATAAAACGAACCAAACACTTAAAACACATGAAACCTCATAGACACGCTTCATCTCCTAGGCCATAATTTTAGAATATAATATTGAAACCTGCAAACATACATTAGTCTAGCTAGTTGATAAAGATACAATCCATATCGTCAAAAAGAGGTAGATTCAAATCTTATTGTTGACATGATAATCTCACTAAATGCCTTGATGAATATTCTCAAAACCTTGAAGCTTGCCTTGATATTAGTGAGTTTTCAAAAACCAACTCACATGAACTTTCATGTACTAATTGTGCCGTAAGCGAGGGTTTTTGCAGACTTGGGAAGAAGCCCTTTTTCTCTGCAAGTATCAAGAGCTGCCGTGAACATGTCCTCTAAGCTATACTTGAACTGAAATCCTAGATCTTTTATCTTCTTAGTAGAAAAGTGCGATATCTCTGAGTCCTCCGGAATATTCCTAAACCTTTAGACCAAAAAAAAGGAAAAAAAAAAGATCATTCATGCGTATAATAATAATAATGAGTTCAACATGGATTCATTCGCTCATGTAAATGAATTATTGATAACTATGAAGTGTCAACAGAAAGTTGTTCCAATGACAGCGTGCTACTCATTATACTTAGATTGTGTCCAAAAGTTGAATTCGGCATTAGCATGTTTGTGTGTGTGAGTATTTAAATTAATTATATTGGAAAAATAAAGGAAAAGTCTCCAAAAAATAACTGTTCAATTTCAAAATTCTAAATCAACAGTTACTATAAAAATATATTGTTATTTGTTTTTTAAATATAGTTTTTTTTTATGAATGTAGTAACTAAGACTGATTTGAAATTTTAAAATTTAACAGTTTTTTTTTTGGATTTTCTCAAAAATAAAGAGAAAGTGAGCTGTACTTGGTGGGGACACTGTACTCTGGGTATTTTTGACTGAGCAACTTGGCAATTTCATGAATTGTGGCCTCATGGGAGGAGCATATGTATCTTCCTTCTGCTTGAGGATGCTCAAACAAGAATATGTGACACATACAAAGATCATCTAAATGAACAAAGTGGCCTTTCTTTAGGATTGAATAACGGTCTTCATCCCCTACAATAACCAGAGTCCATTAAATTAAAGTAAATAAAAATATTCTACCCAGTCTTTTTTGTAAGGCCGTATCAACTGCGTTTCTTAAATTAAAAAAATTTGTTAAATTACAAAAGTGTCAATTTTTTTTTCCAAATTTTCAAAGCTAATAGGTCAAGAAATTAAGAATATAATTTAAGCATTAACAAGGTTGAAATTAAAAGAAATTAATAATAACTCACCTGTGATGAGGGAAAGAGAGGTGAAAAAACTGGGAGGCATTGAATTCATGAGAAAAGGGCCAAGCGCGTGAGGAGGAATTACACTGATGAAATCCATGTTATGCTCTTTGGCAAATTTCCATGCCTCTTGCTCTGCCAATGTCTTTGAAACAAAATATACCTGCAGATTATATATACTCCTCCGGTCCTAATTATAAGACCCAATTGACTTATTTGAGGAGATTAAGGAAGTAAGTTAAGTTGGTTGTTTATAATAAATAAGTGTTGTCATTCCTAAAATATCCTTGCTAATTAAGTATATTGGCTAAAACTATCATTATTAGAAGGATTATCTTGGAAAAAAATACATAAATATAAGAGACAAAATGGATTGGGTCTTATAATTAGGACCAAATAAAAAGTCAAATTGGGTCTTATAATAAGGACCGGAGGAATAGTTTGTTTTTCTAATATCTCTCATGTGTCCAATAAATAATTTGAACGTAAAATAGTAAAATACTCCATCTGCCTGTTATTATAATTCTCTAACCACTTCATCAAAATTAAGGAGTGGTTGAGTCATTAATTCTATCTGGAAATGAATTATTTTTCTAACTAACTTTACTACTTTTGAAAGCATACGAAAATACTATCAAAACTCGTAATGTGAGCCAACCTATAGGCACGGGTTAAGTCGGGCAAAGTGGGTTGGTGAGTGGGCTTGCTAACCCCAATTTTTTTTTCTTTTTTAAATGTTTCTCAATTGTTTTGAAATCTTCAAATTAAATTACAAAATTGTGGACTAAATTCAAATATTTCTACATTTTTATAAAATATATAATTAAATTAACGCAAAACCTATAAATATAAACATATAATTTTTACATAATGATTCTATCATAAACATATAATTTTTACATAATGATTCTATCAATATAAAAATGATAAATTATTAAAGAAAATGAAAAATCAAGTATGAAACCAAATTCCTAACATAAAACAATATTGAGTTTAAATTAAATGCAAAATAATAACATTATTATTAAAATAAATGTGAAAATTTTTAAAGGTGAGCCAACCCATGAGGTAGTAATTGGCTTATAAGTTGAAAAGAGCTCGCTCCAAAACATCTTGCCAATCCAACAAGCTTAACCCATATTATTATCATCTCTAAACTTATATTTTAAGTTTTCTCCTAATAAATTGTAGTATGAGTAATGTGTGTAAAAAAAAGGTTAATAACTCACAAAATAACTTACAAATTACAATTCAATTCAAGAAATAAGAGATCAATACAAATGATGCGTAGAGAAAGAGGAGGAAGCACTAAGTACTAACCCAGCCAGTCATCTTTGCTTTAAGACAGAACTCAACGTCACTCCAGCAAGTCTCATCAATCACAGGTTTCAGGTGCTCCGTGGCACTAAGAGTTCCAGCAGAAGATGTGTACACCAATCTTCTCACTGTTCTGGCCTTCACGCATGCTTTCATAATGTCCAATAAACCATTGATTGTTGGTTTTATCATTTCATTCTGCAAAAAAAATGCCCCAATCAAATTCATAATTGTTATGCTTTTATTTATTACAGTTAACATAATTTTAAAAAGTAATAGTTTAAGAAGAATAATTTAATAAATAAGAGGAGGAAATTAAATTACCTCAGGGTCCTTGGTTTCAAGATTGAAAGGTGTAGCCACATGGAAAACTCCAATGCAGCCATTGATGGCATTGTCGAAGCTTCCCTCCTGGGTAAGGTCTGCCTTCCACAGAGTCAAGTGTGTGTCGGCGTTAGGCAAATCTAGCAAATGCTCTACTTTCTTCATGTTATCTATAAAACAACACAAATTTATATTTAATAATCAAAATATTTTTTTTAATAATGAAAAAGCAAGCAAAGGCTTGATAAAAAGAAGTAACACGACTCCCAGGGGAGTCTCAAAATCAGACAAAAGTTTTGTCTTTCAAAAACATCTCCCTGCACCCATTTGGTACCTCCCATACTTCAAAATAAATTTTCTAGCTTTTTAATATAATCCCTTTGATTTTAAACATAGAAGCTAGTTGATGGAATTATTTTGATTCTAAATGTAAGGTCAATTTACATTACCTTTTAAATTTATATTTTTTTTTTAAGCCACCCTTATTATTATGGAGGTTTCCTACGCATGAGGTGATTTCTTTAATGCAATTGCAAGGTTCTAAAAACCAAACTGATCAATAAATTGGTTAAAACAGTAATACAAAAGTTAATACTACCTCCGGTCCTTAATATAAGACATCGATTGACTTTTATTTTGATCTTAAATATAAGACCTCAATCCACTTTGTTTCTAATATTTATGCATTTTTTTAAGGTAATCATTCTAATAATAGTAGTTCTATCTAATATATTTAATTAGTAAGAATATTTTAGAAAAGGCAACACTTATTTATTACAAATAACTAATTTAACTCATTTCTTTAATCACCTTAAATTAGTCAATTAGCTTTTATAATTAGGACTGGAGGTAGTAGTTTAAATTGGGACCAATCTGAGATGAAGCCAATTATAACTAAAATAATATTTAAATAAAAAGCATTATTCCACAAGTCACACATAATCCAATAAAAAAAATTATTAAAGTACTATAAATTTGATGGACTGTTTTTTTTTTTTTTTTAAACTCAACAACATCATTTCAATTTCGATAAGAAAAGAAATAAATACGTAAAATCCAACTCAATCAATCAGATCAAACTCTTGCCCAGACTGGCCAAGAGACTTTCACTAGTTTGTCTAATTAGCTGACCTGAGTCGGGCTCTAATACCATGTACAAATGATTAAGTGAGTATCAGACTCTTGTGTGTGTCTGTGTGTGTGTGTGTGTTTAGGATGGAAGGAAGTAACACAATATGTTCAAGAAAATATGTAAATAGAAATCTGCTAATGAAATCCTTCATAGAAGTGAAAGTTGTGGGGATACAACAGAACCAGGGTCACGCACGGCGGCTCGAACAGTATAGCCACGTTGGAGTAGTCTCATGACAAGCCAGGAACCGATGAAGCCAGCAGCCCCAGTGACACAAACGGTCTTTGGGACTACTGAATCAGAATCCATAACAATGTGTTGTTCTTCTGCGTGATCACAAAACGAAGAGTTGCAAAAAGAGAGGATGAACAACACGAAGGGCTGCCAATCAGCTACAGTGGTGTTATTATACGAAGAAGTAAAGAGATTTTAGGTAGGTGAAGACGAGAGAACTCGTGTAGGTGTAGGCTAAGAGTAACATTAATAATAATGATGATTTGGGTTTGGATTTAGTGTTAATCATCATGTGATCAACCTAACAGTTTGTAAATTTGTTAGGTGGGTTCTGACTAGCAGCTCTCTATCTCGTTAATTTCTTGTTTAGTCGCCACACTTTTTAATTAATTGCTGACTGCATTTTCATCTCTATCCCCTAGCTATGATAAATACTCCTTTAATATAACAACCACTTAATTAGTTCGGGTGACTGAAGAAATTCAAATAAATTATTTAGTTTTAACAAATGTGATAGTTAGAACTAATTAAAATCAACCCTCTAACTAGTTTCCCAACCATGACAGGAGAAATGCATGTATATCTATAAGTGTATGCATGCGCACTTCATTCAGTCTTAAATATGAAAGCTAATAGAAGAATCAGTTTTAATCCCAAATATAAAACTCTAAGGGCTTTTTGGTATCAAGGAAATGGAGAGGAGGAAAAAATTTAATGAGCTCGATTAAAAAAAAATTTTAAAAAGTAGGGTTTTAAAATTTTATAAAGAAAAGATGTAATATAAAAGAGTAAGAATTAATTAAAAGCTTTTAACCTCACTTTTTCGATTTTTTAAATCAAGCTCATTAAAATTTTCTCTCTCCTCCCCTCCCTTTCATTTTCCTCGTATCAAACAAACCCTAATTTGTTTTGTCTCCTAAGGTTACAATTGTTTCCTAAACTATCTTTTAATACATATAAGTATGCGTCTATCAAGGGTTAGTTTTCAATGCAAATCACTAAAATAAGAATTTAAAAAAAATCAACACATATATTATATTAACAAATAACTAGTTTTCTGAATTTATATAAATTAGCTATTCAACTCATATATTTAGGATTGGAAATATATATATATATATTAACAATTATATTTTGTGGAGCGATTTCTTGGCTCCAAACTCACAGGAGCCTGCCTATATGTTGCGGTTTTATAAGGCCACAAAAGCAGGACCAGATCAAGACTCTTTAAAGAGACAAGTTCACCCTAAGCGGGACAGTTAAAAATCCTAATGTTAAGATTGTTAGTTACTTGCTTGGTGCGCTAGCCAATCAGCAACATTGTGTTGCTTTTCATGATCAATGGTGACTTACTATATCCAATAATTGTGTACATAATAAGTTCCCTAATCTTGATGTGATGGAGGAGATAATGGTCCTAAGCATGTTCATTCTAAATAAGAGTGATGGATTTCATGAAGTTGTCGTAGACATTGACTTTGTAAACTTTTCCTGCCGGAAAAGTGGAATACCTTCTTCATGTACAGTCAAAATTTCAGCTTCAATGCAAGAGTGAAATACTAGGGGTATTTCAGCTTTAAATTTTCCATGTTCACAGTACGCTGCTCCATTTTGAAATGATAATATCACGGGTTGTGGGTCTGAAGATGCGAGCTAAAAAGACCTGCCACCAAAGAGTTAGCTTTTAGCTAGCCCGAACTCGTCGGTTTTTGTGGGTTGGGTTCATTGTGTTATAAGTTATATTTCTACTACTAACTACTTCATCAATATTTAAATGGACCAATCACTACCAAATGATATCCATTCAAAATTATTATCTCTCTCCATTCTTATTCCCCAGTGTCAATGCCGATCATGACTTCCAGCTTCATGTCATTAACTATACTTTGACCTATGATGAAAGAAATGTCATCTTCAAGAGTGACTGCGTCTAAGTAGAGCTTTTTATTTGCATTTGGCTTTCTACATGTTCCAACAAGTGTGAGTAAAAAGCTTATGGCAAGATATTTTCCTAGCATTTGAACTTGCCGCTTAATTTTTTGCATTTCAAATAATAATCCAATCCCACAGCAGAGAAAAGAGAAGAAAATGGTAGTAATTTGTGGGCGATTGATCAATCCGAGCCAAATTTCTCTGGCTTTAGGACAAATCTTTAAGCATATATGAAGGACAGAGTCTGGTGAATTGCAACCAGAAGTCCAGAATCTTTGGCATGTGCCGCTCCCTTAATGTTGGAGAATGTGAAACTACGTTTGATTTCTTTTTTTTTTTTTTGTGCAATAAATGGGCAATTTCCAGACCAGATTGCAGTTTCACCAAGCTGCTTTTCAAAAGAAACGAAATCTACCGTACTTAATGCTCTTCTTATCCTTAATATAAGACCTATTTAACTAATTTGATTAGATTACGGAAGTTAGGTAATTAATTCATTACAAAAATATGACATATTTTTTCTAAAACACCGTAATCATCTTTCTTAATATCCTTCCTCCCTCACTTGCTTGATTATGATTAAGGGGTATCCATAGGGTAATTTAGAAAAAATTGATAAATATGACAAATAAGTATCATATTTAGTACTAAAATTAACTTAACAATTAGATTTATATTAAGGACTAGAAGACTATAATACTAATTGACTAATTTATGAATATTAAAAAATTCTTAAATTATTTTAAAATATTTATTTTATTATTTGTTTTCAAACTAGTTTACCTTACTTATATATTAATATAATGATATAAAATAACAAAATCATATAACATATATTATAAATAAGTAATTTAATCTTTTTAAATTAGTCAATTAACTCTTATATTTATGACCACAAGTACTATATGATTTTTTACTGGTTTGATGAGCTGATCGGGTTCACTTTTTGACCAATTTCATAAAATTCTAAATCAATTCCCGTAAGCTTGTAATGTTGAAAATAAGCTTAGAATATAAAAAATTATAAAAAGTTTATTCAAATTATTATAAAATTGACCTATACTTTACATACGCCAAAATGAAGATCTTTCAATTACTCACTTCCTTTTTTATTTATAAGTCATTTTAAACTAATTTATATTAATTAAGTTGGTTAAAATCAATCAGTGTATTGTTTGTTCTTTATAATCATTTAAAAATATCCACATGACACCAAGAATATTATTAAGAAATTAATTATATCATACATTTTGTAAAATAATTTATAAATAAAATATTATTTTTTAAAATATAACTTATGAAAAAATGAAGAGGGTATTCTTTAATAAAATTAATAAACATATTAAACATTTTTTTCCTCCAAAATTCATGTTAAAAAAAAAAAAAAAAAAAATCATGGAGGCCGTATTGAGATCGGAAGTCAGAACTCAGGAGAAAGTAACCTTCGCTGATCGTATCCGTTATACGGTATAAAATATAAACAACCCCAAACTAACACTAAGCTTCTAACCAAAAGCCTTGTATGGAAGATCAGAGTGGTGAAGGAGGACCCGGAGAAGAAGACGACGAAGTTGAGAATCCCGAAGGGGATTGACAGTTGTTGTTCCTACCACTTAAAGGAATTTGTGTGATATAGGGAAGAATATGGGTAAAAATAAGGGTAAGGGTCTTCTCTCCTTTCGATCCTCAAGCTTACGCCGTCGCCCAAAGAAGGCGGCTGATCATCGGCCACCACCATCGCCGCCGCAGCAGCAGACAATCGGGACTTTGGGCTCACCTGGTGGGGGTGGTGGTGGGGCGTTGGTAAAGACCAAGAAGAAGGCCGGCGTCGCGAGGTGTGGATGAGGTTTGATCGGTCGGGTCAATCGGAGCTCGTTGAGTTGGATAAGAACGCAATTATCAGAGTCGCGGCGATTCCGGCCAGGGATTTGAGAATTTTGGGCCCTCTCTTCTCTCACTCCTCCAATATTCTTGGTAATGAATTTGGATCGTATTGTGTTTTTCCTTCTTACCTATCAACTGTTTTGTGTATGGCTTTCTGAGTGTCACTGCTTTCCAGAAAATTTTGTTTATTTTTTGCGATTGTTTATAAAAGGTTTGTGCGGTATCTCAAGCTGAATTTCTTGAGCACTTGGTGAAAAGACGAGATTGCAGTTTGAACGTGGCGGGGAAATAATGCATAATTTGTATGCGAGTTTGTTTTGATCTTAAAGTTTGGGCTGAGGTCCACTTTCTGGACACTCTAGCACCGTAATAACCTATATCAGTACAGTTGATACTATTCAGTACTCACTATCTTTGTTTCAGCTCTTAAGCAGAATATGGTTATAACCAGGTCTTTATATTACTAATCTATTCTATTTATAACTTATAAGTCACTTTCAAGGTGTTTCACTAGAAACAAGGAAAACCTTAAACTTATTGACTCTGTCTAAAAATTTAATAAGTTTCTAACTTTGTCCCTATGAAGTCATACATGCTTTGAGAATAAAATAACACGCACCAGCATTTAGTGAGGGGTAATAGGGGAAAGTGGTGATAAAAAATTAATGGCATGCCTTGTTATTATTTTCTTCTATCTTTGCCTTATAAGTGGGGCCGGATTGATATTCCTCTATTTTCATGTTGCAATATATGCTTCTCACAGCCAGGGAGAAAGCAATGGTAGTCAATTTGGAGTTTATAAAGGCTATAGTCACGGCCGAAGAAGTCCTTGTTCTTGATCCTCTTTCCCATGAGGTTCTTCCATTTGTTGAACAACTAAGGCAACAACTTCCGTATAAAACCCAGCCAAAACTTCATGGCCATGCAGAAGAACAAGAAAATGAACTGCTTGTTTCAACTGGCAGACAATGGTTACCTGTGCCAGAGCCCGCAGATGGTTTGCAAGCTGAGCTTCCGTTTGAGTTTCAAGTTTTAGAGATTGCTTTAGAAGTTGTCTGTACATATCTGGACTCAAATGTGGCAGACCTTGAGAAAGGTGCATACCCTGTATTGGATGAATTGGCTAGAAATGTTAGCACCAAGAATCTTGAACATGTGCGAAGTTTGAAAAGCAACCTTACACGTTTGCTGGCACGTGTGCAAAAGGTACGCTGCTGCATTAAGCATTATGTAATATATTCATTTTCTGGGTGGTTATTGTCCCTCTGGTAAGGACTACTTTCTCCGTGGGGGCTGCAGTAAGTGACCAAGGATAGCTTTGGGGAAAAAAGTATTTTAAAATATGTAAGTGGGATTAAAATTCTTACAAGTCTGATCCTTTTTTTGGGGGGGGTTT